TTGAGGCCTCCACAACATGGCTCAGATACGCTGGATGCATCAGGGAAAGCTTGGCCGTGTCATATTTCTGAGTCCTAATTTCTGGCTATTAGCCAGATTCCTCCGTTTTGCTCTATTGGCTTTAGCTTAGTCTGGAATGTCAGAAACAGCTTTTGTAGTCATAATGTCTGGTGAAGGAACAAGAATAGTTGAAAGCAAAGGGCTAATGTTCAGTTCACTCTCCACTGGATAAGTTTAGCTTCCTCACAACATGGCAGTCTCACAGCCGTCAAAATTCTTGTGGAGTAACTGAACTCTCCAAAGAAAGTTACTTATTTTTTTCAGTTTTGTTCTCCTTCATGGTACCTATGCATTTTTGCAAGCTACCTTAAATTCATTTTAGAACAAGGTGAGATATGAACATGTATATTGAGTGAAATATGAATTAAGTATCAAGAGAAGATAAAGAAGTATATCATCGCTTCCCTCAAGGAATTTGGAGTCAAGCTTCACAGAAACTGTACTCATTAACAGCAAGCATTTGAAGGTACAGAACATTTGTTTCCTTAAGAGCTGTGTCGATAAAAAGTGTGATAATTGTTTTCAGGAAGGAGTGAACCAACCCATCAGGCTTTGTGAAGGAAATGGATTTGAATTTTCCCCCCTTTATTTTAAAAGAAGATAGGATTTGAACCAGCTAGGAAAACTCCAAAAAGGGATGTGGTTTAATAAAAGTAGATGCTGTTAGAAAATCCAAGGCATATTTTGGAGTGCTGGCAGTAGGCCAGTTCGACTGGAAAGTCTGCCCAGTGGAATTCTGGGTAGTGGACTTTTTTCTTGCCTAAGTGACCATTCACCCATCACCTGATGGGGTACCTTGGTTTCTTTGGGGGCAATCATCTTTCCAGTAACCCAAGATGAGAAGTACAGCATAAATCTGACACTTGGCTAGAAACAAGATAAATATTGTTTAGGAATCAGGATATGAGGGCCCCCTTAAGCCAATGACACCCCAGATCTTTGATGAACTATTGAACCTGAGCCGGAGAGAATTCAGGGCCAGGTTTGCTTTTGCCATCATGCTCCTCAGGTGCAGAACCTGAGGCTTTAACTTGACACTTAGCCTGAATGGTGAGAACCTGCGTCTTGAATCCAGTCCTATCTATAGCTTTATTCCAGAATATTCAGAGACAGGACACATTTGAACCAGGTACCAGTGAAGGAGGAAATAATCAGAGAAAGGGAAAATCACTGGCTTAGGAGTAAATGCCAAAAAAATATTCTGCATGTTCACATACCCTTTTAAAGTCTAGTTCTAACCATCTCTCCACCATTGCCTCCCCTGTCTCTCTCCAAGCTCTTTGCTTTACTCATTGTGTACACCGAATTCCATTTTCTGAATACTCCCTATTTTTTTTATAACTTTACGAGTTCCAATGCTGTTCTCTATCTGAAATTGTCTTTTTCTTCTGGAAAGTTCTTTAATTATCCTTGAAGGTGAACCTCCCCTGTGTGCTTGTATATAATTCTTCTCTTACAGAAATTACTTCGTTCTTTGTTACTGTTTTTAAAGTTTTCTCTGATTTTTCTGCGAACTCTGTGAGGTGGGGGACCAAGTTTTGTATGCCTCAAATTCCCTCAAAGGATTTCACACAGTACCTGATATACAACAAGAGCTTAAAAGATGCTTATGAAATAGGTAGCATCTGAATAAATTAGAAATGGCAACTAACAAATAAATGAGTCTCTGGTCTGAGTTCCCTGGCTTCTGCCACAACTATTCCTGGAAGCTCCCCCATGTTGATCCACAGATTTCAGGAATTTCTTACTTGCTTACCATAACTTGTTTCTCCTTTATTTTCTAACCTCTCTTTTAGTGAGGTGTGACCGTGGAAGTGGTTTCATTGCAGTAGGGTGCAGTACTTCCTGGCCTGTACTTCAAAACCGCCATCCTCCATGCTTCCCTTCTAACTGGCTGGGGGATGTCCCCAGTGACCTTGAAAGTTAAGCGTTGAAGGCAGTAAGGCCCTATCATGTTGAGCCTTTATAACCTAGGAGGTGAGCCCTTTCCCACCCCAGCAATAGAAAACCAAGAACATCTGCATTGAACTTTACAAGAGGGAGCAACTTTCATTGTGTCAAGTCATTGCAATTTGGAGGGTTAGTTATTTATTTTTAAATAACTAACCATCCTGAGACAGGACTCCAAAGAATTATTTGAGTCTAAACCAGGTTCTGAGTGTAGTGAATATCATATACAGGGAAGAACTCTCTTCTGGAAAGCCTCCCAGTTGTTTCTGGCCTCCTACGTCTTAGGAAAAGGTCACTCGTGGTATGTGGCAGCTGGGCAGTTTGGGGGTAGTCGGCTGTGGTGAGAAGGTTAGGTTCTATTCCTGGGTCTGCCCCCTACCGGCTTTGGGTACTCAGCCAAGGAAAATTACAGCATGCGTGCGAAAACCACCCACCCACCCACAGGGAAAATACATAAAAGCAATCACCCCAGCAAAAATGCAGGTGACGTTGATTTCTGCTGCAGGAGAGAATTCTGCTCTTAGACTGGTCTCTTCCGGGGCTTTAGCAGTCTTAACACGTGATGCCTTCCAGTCCTACAGAGACTGCTTACTGATTCCAAGCCTGGCCAGCCAAGAGGAGCACTTTGACCTTTCGTCGGTGCAGGCAGACTGCAGATGCACCAATCAAAATGTTTCTGTCCTTGTCAGTGTCAACTTTCTAAGCCACAGGATGCATATTGAGTTGACTTAGTTAACAAACAAACAAATAAAAAAAAATGCCACAACGTGCCATGTCTCACCCATCCATGTTCTCAGCTCAAATTCTCCTGGCCTGGAGCGTGATCTGTTTCCACAGCATCAGTCCCATCTGATCCTGTGAACAGGCTCCCTGAGTGTCTGTGGCCTACCCAGAGGAGGGAGAGTTATTCCTTATCTTCTTTTACCCGACTTTTCTGTGTTTGTGTCTGTGGGGAAGGAATCGCAGCAATTGTTTCTCAGGATCAAAGTTTGCTTCAAGAGTCAGAGATCTCTAATTCCCATGCCAAGGATTAGAGCTTTCCCACCCTCCCCTCCAGTATCTGTCAGCACGTGAAACTCCTTTTGTGTCCCTAAAGGTGGTTGTCCTATGATATGGTCCTCAGTACTAAGGTGTTACCACCACTGACATCTAAGTATCTAGTAGGCATCAGCGTCACTTTGAGAACGCCTTATATGTGAGTAGGCTCACTGGGGTTTATTCCTGGGGATTGTGATTCAGCAAATATAAGATGGCGGCCAAGGTTTTGCAATTTTAATTGACATGCCACATGAATTTGATGCTGGTGGATCTGGGACCACACATATAAGAACTTCCCTTCATTTTGGTTGTGACTGATATTTTTTTTTTAAATTGTGATTTGTTATAGATGATAACAGAATGAACTACAAATCATATTATACATACTGAGCACGATTTTTCATTTCTCTGGTTGTACACAAAGTAGAGTCACATCCTTTGTGTCTTCTTACATGTACTTAGGGTAATCATAATCATCACATTCCACCATTTTTTCTACCCCTATTTCCCCTCCCTTCCTTTCCCTCCCCCTTTCCCCTTTGCCTTATCTAGGGTTAATTTAATCCTCTCCCTCCCCAGCATATTATGAATCAGCATCCTTAAATCAGAGAAATCATTCAGCATTTGGTTTTTTGGCTAATTTCAATTAGCATTATATTCTCCAGCTTTATCCATTTACCTGCAAATGCCATGATTGTATTCTCTTTTAATGCTAAATAACATTCCATTGTGTATATAGACCACATTTTCTTTATCCATTCATCTATTGAAGGGCATGTAGGTTGGCTCCACAGTTTAGCCATGGTGAATTGTGCTCCTATAAACATTGATGTGGCTGTGTCCCTGTAGTAGGCTGCTTTTAAGTCCTTTGGGTATAGACTGGGGAATGGGATAGCTGGGTTAAATGGTGGTTTTGTGACTGAGCTTTTCTACAACAAAAATAGGTCCATGACATACCTTCAAAAGATTCCTCAATAGTTTCTCACTGTTGTCAGGATCAAGTCCAGACAAATCAGGACTTATCAGGAAGTGAACCATCCCTAGTTCTCCAGCCTCAGTTTCTCATCACCTGTCCCCTTGTCGTCTTCACTTCAGTCACTTGGAGTTTTATTTTGTTTTAAGGATCTGATGCACTTTTTTTTTCTTTTTACTGCTTTGTGAATGTTACTCTCTCTAGTCTGAAATGGTTCCCTCTGTCCACAGTCTTGTGCTGATAAGATGCCTCTTCTCCTTGGGAAAACTTGCCACTCCTTCCTATGAAAGTGTCCTTCTCTATTTGCTCATGGCTCTCCCCACATCTTCTACTGAGAGCACTATCACCACTGCTGTGGTCAACCTTCACTCATGGAATCACCCACCAGAGCCAGAGCCCCCTCCTGGCGGGGATCATGTCCTCATCTCCACCTTCCAGGGAGCTGGGTTGAGAGACAAGGACAATCAGTGGCGGGCAAAGTGGGCCAGAAGGGCAGCTGTACAAGGAGAGCTGAACATGACTGAAATAACTGGGAACTGTTTAGTTCTCATTAAAATAGACTGCTCAAGGGGAAGTAACCGAATACTCCTGCTGGTGTAGACTCAGCATGGCTGAATGCTTTTGCAACCTCATCTCACTGTGACAGCCAGTAAGAGCTGGACAGCTGACAAAAAGTGGCTGAATGCTGCACATAGGAGCATTGGAATCCTGCAAGCCTGCTAGGTGCTCTTAATTTAGGCACTCCACCCAAGTAGACCAATGTACTCAAGTGCTCCACCTCCCACATTGACCAAAGTGACATTTCACCATATGAGTTGAGCAGAATTGTACTTGGCATGAAAGAACACCAGAATGGGAGGGATATGGGTCTCCAATCACTGAAGAAGAGCCGGCTGTTCTTCTAGCCTGTTCATGTCAGGACTGTTTACACAAGAATATTCTCAGAAGGTCACTATATGGTTGGGCTTCTTTGTTACAGAAATTCTGCTTGCACTAATATAGATGGCATCATGCCTCCCAGGCAAATTCATCAGGATGAGAGAAGATGTGTTCTTCATCTCTGGACCAAACATCTCCTACAAGGAAAGCTCTGTGGAGAAGGCAAGCAGGTAGAGCTCAACCTGACCATTCCATGCGCGTGCCTAGCAATTTATACAATTCGCTCCAAAGTTGAGGTCTCACTGCTACATCGATGTTCATAGCAGCACAATTCACAATAGCAAGACTGTGGAACCAACCTAGATGTCCTTCAATAGATGAATGGATAAAAAAAGTGTGGCATTTATACACAATGGAGTATTACTCTGCATTAAAAAATGACAAAATCATGGAATTTGCAGGGAAATAGATGGCATTAGAGCAGATTATGCTAAGTGAAGCTAGCCAATCCCTAAAAAACAAATGCCAAATGTCTTCTTTGATATAAGGAGAGTAACTAAGAACAGAGTAGGGAGGAAGAGCATGAGAAGAAGATTAACATTAAACAGGGAGGAGAGGTGGGAGGGAAAGGGAGAGAGAAGGGAAATTGCATGGAAATGGAAGGAGACCCTCAGGGTTATACAAAATTACATATAAGAGGAAGTGAGGGGAAAGGGAAAAATAATACAAGGGGTAGAAATGAATTACAGTAGATGGGGTAGAGAGAGAAGAGGGGAGGGGAAGGGGGATAGTAGAGGATAGGAAAGGCAGCAGAATGCAACAGACACTAGTATGGCAATATGTAAAACAGTGGATGTGTAACTGATGTGATTCTGCAATCTGTATACGGGGTAAAAATGGGAGTTCATAACCCACTTGAATCAAAGTGTGAAATATGATATGTCAAGAACTATGTAATGTTTTGAACAACCAACAATAAAAATTAAAAAAAAATAAACAACAACAACAACAACAACAAACAACAACAACAAAAAACAAAGTTGAGGTCTCTCCTTCTCACCTCCCCTGAGGAAACAAACAAAACAAATGAAAAAGAAAACAGGTAGTGTCATAGCAGGATGCACTTCCTCCCCTTGAGAACTCAGAATTTGGGAGCCCACCATCAATTAATACCAGAGAAATGACAAGGAGATTCTCTGGAGGAAACGTAAAAAAGGCAAGCACTTGGTTTTGGGCTCTGAATGATGAATGGAGGGAGAGCCAGTGTCTGTCTTCTCACTCATCACTACTGCACTTGCTTCGAGTAGCTCCCCTCCTTCTAGGAGCTCCCCACCTTCCAGGAAGCAACAGAAACTTGGCTTTTCCCCACTCCCCAAGAGCCTGCAAAGTAGACATCACGGATCCCATTCTCTAACTGGGAAAACGGAGGCTCAGAGGTTGAGTGATTTATTTAAAGTGCAGCATAAGCAAGCAAAGAAGCCAGCAGGAGATAAGAGTTTGCCTAACTCCCCAGTCAATTTTCAGTTCCCCAGATAACACAGAGCCTAAATAAACCTACATCAACACCATATGGTACCCGCAAAGCAGGAGGATGTTGGGCATTTGTACTAAAATGGGCTATGAAGGAAAGATAGTGTGTACGTGAGTAGTCAGGGAGCAAACTATCCTTTTGATAATTCTCATAATTTTTAGTTCAGTAACCCAGGATGACATGAGTTTTGAGGGACTGGACAACTTTGCTGCCATCTATTCATTCCCGTGATCTTTAAAAACACAAATTACGGAAAAAAAAAATCACAGTCATTATGAATATCTTCTAGGTGACAACTTAATTAAGCATACTTAGAATTCTGGCTTATTAAAAATACTTCTTGGCGACAGAGCTTGAGGTCCCTTTAAAGGACTTTCCTTGGATTTTGAAATGAAAATACATTCTGTGTTCATGTGGGATAAGCAGTTTTCAGAATTTTCTTCAATGCCAATATGCAACTTAGATTTAGTAAAACCACATTGCAAACCTGTTAACATATAATGGCCATGAAGTAATCCAATGAGCAGTCCCCTGCACAAAGCGCTGTATCCCACTAGGCTGCCATAAGGGGCAAATACAATTTGTCTATAGAATTAGGCTTCGCAGTTAGAGTCCCTGCTTTTGGTGTGTGATATCCTGTGGACTACAAGCAGATTTAGTGTCCCCAAACAGATGGGCTTTCCCTTTATGGGCCACTCTTTAAGTTTTCTCAGCAAACCACAGCTGTGCTAATGTCCCTTTGTGTAAAGAATTGTTTAAGTTGAACCACTTCCTTTTACCTGATGTGTATTCAGAGTTTTGAGCCGGGGACAATGGGGATATGGCAACATCTGCAGAAAAAGAAGATTCCCTTCTTTGTGCTCTTTAGTACTGGCTGTGACAGGAGAAACTTCGTTGGAGATCAGTGAGGGTCCTTAGTTACAAATAACAAACCCACTCTAGTTAGTTGAAGCAGTTTGGTAAGGAATTTGTGGTGTCTCAAGAAATTTCTAGAAATCCATGGAATCAAGCCAGGAGGGTTTGCAGATAGAAAAAGTGCCCAGGCTGCACTGCCAGACTGCACCGTCGGGTAGATGCAACAACTCTCCCTGCCAACATTGACTGGGATACCATGGCCAGAACCTCTTGCTCTGCTGCCTCCGAGAGCTGAGTGAGTGAGTCTCGGCCTCCCTGACCTGAATGCATTCCTCATAACATCACATTCTTTCGTGGAATTTTCTTCCCAGATGAAATCTGTAGCATATCTGGTCCCATGGCAGTGACCTGTGGGTAAGCAACTGTCTAACCTCTACCTTGGGGAAGTGGAAGATCTCTCAAACCCTGAAGAGATGTTCAGAAGGTAAGTGGTGATCTACACCAAGGATATCCAGTGCACCTGCTTTTTGGCTGGCCCATCATTCTTCTTCTACATGAAAATCCTAAACTCCAACTACAAGAACAAGAACAAAAGGCTTCCATCTAACATCATGTAATTATTCCTTGCACAACAGAGAGGACAAGGAGGACCCTCTTTGATTTCTACCAGCGGAAGGCTCTCCTTCTGCAGTCACAGTCCCATCTTCAAGTTCTATGACCCAGGCACTACCCTGTACCTGCTCATGTACTCTATAAAATGGGAGGGAAGCAAGAAAAGAAGAAAAAGGAAGAATTGTCAGTGTGTGTATAGGAATAAAAATGATGGGACTGGGACTGTGGCTCAGCAGTAGAGCACTTGCCTAGCATGTGCAAAGCACTGGCTTTGATCCTCAGCACCACATAAAAATAAATAAAATAAGGATATTGTGTCCATCTAAAAAATAAATATTTTTTAAATGAGTGTCTGTGCTGACATTTCCACAAGTGGCCTTATGGACGTGGATGGCTTTTATGACATTTTCCTCCACGACTATGCCATGCTCTTTTTGTCTTCCTAACCAGCATGAGCTGAGGCAGTGACTTACAAGCTTCATTCATGTACCTCTTTGTGGTCTTTCTGGTGTGTGGTTGCTATAGGCTCCCATTGAGTTCCATGACCAGATGTGGCAATTCACGAAATTCTCCTTGAATAAATTAGGAGAACCATCTCTATTTTTCTTGGATAATCAGAAACAATTGCCTCAGTCAACACTGAAAACCCCTTTATTGCCTGATTTAACAGTGATGGAAAAATCCAAAATATTCTCTTCTTAGCAAGAAGGAGTCTTATTACCAGTTCAAGGGAACTGTTCATAGTGCCACATTCTTCTCCTGGGAACTAAGACTTTAAGTTGGCAGTGCCCAGAAGTGCAGAGATCAAAAAAGCAAGACTATTGCAGTGGCATCACTAAATGCAACGTTGAGAAGTATCTCTCCTACTTCTACCCTTTGGTTCTGAATCCCATGCACTTCGGTTACAGAAGGAAAACTAGTACCATAAACGTATCATGGTTCAGAGAATGCACTGCACCCTACACAGACCACTCCAGACTTACAAGGCATTGCTGCCCAGCTGACACCACTGCTGGGACTTCAGTAGATGTTTTCACCATCCTGTAAGTCTCGTTGCTTCTTAATGATGGACTAGGTGATAGGGCCAATGGGAATTTAGGCTTCTCTGAACCTCTGAAAGCTTTTTATGTTTCTCTTTCTTCTCTATTAGCCATGCCCTAACTCTGACAGACAGGATAAGGCTATGATTTCAGTTGACCCTGTAATTTGGCAACTCATCAGGATCAACTCAGGTTTTAGCTCTGTATGTGAAAGTGATAGATTAACGCCAGACTAACTTTTTCTCTTATTCTCATAGCCTGAGAATTTAAGCTATCCAATGCAGTTAGAAGAAACCTTGAAAAATCAGTGTCACTCATATCATTTGAATTCCTCTGAATACTATATCCCCCAGGTCTCACATTCATAGGATCCCAATACTAGGTAACCACAGGAAAATATTTAAAATACTGTACTAATGTTTGGTTTTGAATGCTAGCTGGATTTTTCACTGCATTTTTTGAGATATTGAGAGAGAGAGAGGAGAGAGAGATAGAGAGAGAGAGAGAGAGAGAGAGAGAAAGAGAGAGAGAGAGAGAGAGAATTTTAATTTTTTTTTTTGGCAGATACAACATCTTTGTTGGTATTGGTGCTGAGGATCAAACCCAGGCCGCACGCATGCCAGGAGGGCGCGCTACCGCTTGAGCCACATCCCCAGCCCCTTTTCACTGCATTTTTACACCAAAGAAGAGAAAACCAATATTTGGTGCCCATTTCTTTATGGATTTGTGACCTGAATCTCTTCCCGAGATCAAATTCTTATTGGTCAAGGTGTTCTTAGTTGCAAACTTCAGAGCCCACTTTTAGATAATATGTGCAAGTGTATAATGTATTAACCATATGAAAGCAGGTCACAGAGAGCCAGAAAAATTGATTTAAAGAATATGGAACCATAGATAATGTCCAATACTATAAACCTACTGCAGGAGGAGACCCTCCTGTTGCTAGTGCTAGCATAGCATTGTAGCTCATGTGGCTGATACTGGGGTTAGGACACCTCTACTACAACTTTTGTCATACTTATGAAAAATGGCCATCTCTTCATCACTGTCCTCAGAAGAGAGCCTATTAAATATCTTTTTCTTCACATCATTCTCTTCTAAATCTCATAAAAATGTTCTCGATTCTAGGCCCTTACCAGATAACTATGCTCTTGTTTGTAGATACTGGAAACTGAATTTTCGGCTTCAATTTAGAGAATGGCAGATTCTCTAAGTGAGGAAATGCCTTCAAATATGAAAGATGTTCAAAGCTTGAACAACATCCATTCCACGTGAAGCTACCTCCCTTTTTAATTATAATGAAACTTTGATTTTGAATGATCTATTATTTCAAGCTGCAAGTGTAAGTGGGAAATAATGAACAGAATCAGATGAATCTGGGATATCAAGAGATGATCTGCATGAACCCCCAACCCCACATCTGGAAGGCAAAGAATTATTTACTCCTATTGCACATGTGAGGCAAATAAATCCTGAGGAAGTCAAGCGCCCTGTACACTGATACCCAAATTCCCACTGGGATGTTAATGTACTTTTATTTGGACCTTTGAATTCTTGAGTGAGAGATCATGTTTTTTCAGTCTTGGAAGTATAGAATAATCTTGCTTATAATTTTTTAAAAATGTTGGGCACAAGGCCATACTTGAGAAAAAAAGTAGATAGAGCAAATGTATCTTAAGGACCCCATGGGTATTTTATACCATGTGATAAGAAAATGACAACTCTTGTGGGAACATTTTGTTATGGACTGAGGATCTATTCCTCTTTCTTTTGGTAATAGTATTTTGATTTCACTGGGGATGGGATTTTCTGCTCACATCAGCCCATGAGTCTCTCTTAACCTTCATTCATGGATGAATGCACAATACAGCACAAACCATTCAGAATATGCCATCCCCATGCTTTGGGATAGACACCCAACCCAAGTCAGTGCATTAAAACTCAGGCTTTGGTTGGGATGCTCGGTGGAGAAGCTCCTGGACCTGAAGTGGCAGGATGGATGCCCACAGTTGCTGTAGGGTCACCATGCAGAAAGAGTTGCCCAAGAACATACTCAACACAAAGAAAGGTAGAACTGCAAGGCAGGAGAGAGTCTGAGTACTGATGTGTTTAAGCCCCTGCATCCAATCCAGGCCACTGCAGGAATTTCAACCACTTGAATCTTGTCTGTTTTTGTGTTTGAGTTCCATTACTTTTTGTCAAGTTTCTGGTGCTTACTACTGGAGGAGTCTCACCTGAAACATCAAGCAGACTTGAGCTTCGGGTGTGACTACCTGGTGACCTTTGGGTGAGTCATTCAGCTGCTAACATGAGTCATGGGAAACGGAGATCCTTAGAGGTCATCTAATCTAATTCCCTCCACTCTGGGACTGTTAGAAAAACAAGCAAAAAGTAAGTCATTCTCACTCACTCACTAGTGTATCACAGTGGCATCAACTAGGTTTACAATTCCACACAAAAAGTCCCCGCGCCATTTTATTGAACTAATAAAATGAAGTCAGGAGGTTTCACATGCAGATGCCTGGACTGTTTTGAAAAAAAAAAATGCTCCTTTAAACCCATGGAATTCCAATTTCAGAGTAAGAGCAAAGTATAAGAATTGGTGCGTCTTTCAAAAAAATAAAATCGCACTCCTTTTTTTAAAAAAATGTATTACCAATAAGGTAGGGTCTCCTATCTATATAGTTCCTTGAACATCTCAGAACAAAGTTATATACAAAGCCCAATGTTCATTTTGTAACATACTTATCTTGTCACATCATGGATCATGATTGTTGGAGGCAAGGGTAGAAGGGGGGAGGAATTACAAAGGAACACAAAAAAAACTTTTGGAGGTAACAAATATTTGTATCTTGATCTTACACAATTGTGTGTGTGTGTGTGTGTGTGTGTGTGTGTGGTGTGCAAACACATCAAACTGTAACTTTAACTATACAAGGTTTACTGTACACAAAATCCACCTCAAAAAAGTCATAAAATGAAAAAGAGTAGAGAATCAAACCAAATAAATGAAGCATGAAATGAAGAGCAAATTGAGCTGGGAGGTACATAAGGATTTGGAGGAAGCCATCACCATCCTGAGTCACTCTTATACCTAGAGAAACTTCTCACGGAGTTAGACCACATTCCCTAGTGAATGAGATCTTAAAAGCCTCTTTGCTCCCAAGTTCCTCCTCCTCCTGTGTGTAATGGTACCTGGAATTCCCATCATGGTTATCACTCCCACAGGGCCCCCAGAGACAGGGACATTTAAACTGAGGGTATGCATCATGTTACCTCATTAGCTAATGCCTCACTTGATTTACACTGCTGGCTCCCAGCCTGCCCCCTAGGAACCCTAAATTATACCCCCAGGACGTTCTGGGACTCTAAGGTTCAGATGTAGTGCATTTTATTTTTTTAATGTCATGAGTCCTTCATGTCAATATAATTACCAAAAATCCCAAGTAGCTGTTAAACCTTGGGCTGCACCAACTCTTGCCCAGACCTTATGTTCTCAAAGCCCCCATCCATCTGCCCCTCACCTCTCAGACAGAAACAAGGGAGAACCATAAAGAGTGCTTCTGATCCTGGTGGTGTTGTGATGTTTCTCTTTGGGGTTGCTTCTTGCTCATTCCTCCATCTCCATCCTCCAAAAAATTCATGCTTTTTATTCTACTTTGATGTTTTTTTGGGGGGGAGGGCTACAAAACTAATGTTATTCAAATGATTCCTCTGACCTTCTGTTTAAAACCTTAGAAATGCTACTTTCTGTGCTGACCCTGGAGTATAAACCACTACGGTGACTAACACTGCAGAGTGATCACTTATTTGGACTCACGGCTATTAAGCTGGGTTTGGCCTGTGGGAACTACATGGGAATGGTAAATGCAGAGTGTAGGAAGGATAGTCTAGAAGCAGGGCACCAGGTCCTGGTGGGGGTGCTGGAGGACATTTGGGAACATGGCCCATCTCCTGGAGCTGCCACCTCCCCTGTTCTCTATCTCAGTAGTTCTGAAATGTGGTTTGCAGGCGGGGTGACCCCCTTTCTGGGAAAAAATATCCTCTTAGGAGCCTAGAATTCACACCTCTTGTTTCCTCACAGAGAAAGCAATTCAGATTTAAGTCAAGCTTTTCACTTGATATACTAATCTATGCATCTTGAGGGGGGACAAAGTGGAGCCCTCGCTTTGCTCTTTGTGTCTATACCCACGCGCATTCACACGCACAAGCCTCATTTGTGGAGATGTCTTTGAAATGTATTCACGGAAGATAATTATAGAGGTCTAACACTTCTGCTCTTCAATTAATGCTATAAAATTAATGGTCCTTCATTTTTACATCCTATGCAAATGATGGTGTCATCTCCAACTGTAAGCCTCTCTACTCACACGCTGAATATGATTAGTGTCCCTTAAAGCTGAATTAGAGCATGTGACCTTCTGGGGTATGTCAGCAGGAAAAACCTCCACATGCTATTTCCAAGGTTTCATTATGAAATGTTCTTAAAAAGCGGAATTTCGAAGTTGACACCAAAACACGTTCCAGTGACTGATCTTGTGGGGTTGTGGCCTTAGGAAAGAGCAGACAGGAACTGGAGAACAGCTCATAAATCTACAATTTTCACCTGAGATTTACCAGACTTCATAATAAGCACATTTCCAAACAAAGGACAGATAGATTCATGTAAGATAATGAGGCAGGTATAATGGAAATGTGGTAGTATTCAAATATTGTACCCATTAGAATATCCTTTTCCAAATAGACCCAGGGGAATGCTTGGTCACAGAAAAGATGTATTTTCTTGACAGAAAGTCCTGAAAAACTAGCAAAAATGGCCAATTCTTGGCTCAGGGAAAAAATTAAGATGTTATGATTTTTTTATTTCAAGGACTGTGTCAAGGGCTCGTGACTCTGTGGCTTCTGATGAGGATGTTGGCATCTTGCAGGAATCATTATGTGCACATATCTGCTCCGTGAGGTATATTTCTGCACTTTAGGCAGCTAAGATGAGTTGGAGATACTGCATAGCTCAAGTGCACTCACACTCCGAGTCAATATTCTCGCTCGTTTGGAGAGCTTTTGTCAAATAATGGGATACCATCTGGTGTTAGAGTCCTAGGGAGGGACGTGCAAGTTTAAGAGGACTGGAGGCTAAGGCAAGTGTCAGAAGGGACATGAAGGAAAGGAAACATAGTGAACCCTGACTATCCCTGCTTAAGTAGGGGGAAAAAAAAAGAATTGTAAGCAGACTCAGATGCTGGGCTGGAATTGAGGCCAGGTTGATGGATTCTGCAGCCTCTGGCAGCCAGGATTGCTTGGATTGATGGACACACTCCTGAAGCCAAGTTCAAAGAGAGTGTATCCATTTATCCTTTGTGATCTGTGGAATTGGGTGAGAAACAAATATTCAGAGAATTTGTTGTTGTTGTTGTTGTTGTTGTTTTCCTTCCTTAAGAATTCCTTGGCTACAAGAATATTGACTGTGTGTTAAGAAAACTTGGGTGTCAGAAAA